TCGTTGCTTGAAATAAAAATTACTTGGTAAAAATAGTTCGTTTTCTCTACTACAATAAGCTCAGAGTAAATAAATAACTTATTCATATATTTAGTAGTAATCATTCTCCCGGTGTATGTTTGAGAGACATGATATGGAAACTCTTAATTTGTAGATTCTATTGAATATCAACCATTAAAAAAATTACATTTATCTCCCTAGTATCGTATTCTTTAATAGTGATTGAATACATTTTCATTATATGCCTTTCACGTAAGGACAAAAATCGACATAATTCAATTAACGACCGAAAAAACTTCGATACAAGCCCCAATATCTCCGAAGTTCTAAATACATCATTTTGATGTAAAATTTATATCAAAATAATCAATAACGTTTGCTTAAACTATACTCTGATTTTTACTTTTAAATCGTTACTATTATTTTTAATTAATCGAATAAAGCTACCTTATATTTATCTGCCGGTCATCGGAAATCATTACCGCATATATTACCTACTGTATACTATACACTAGATAATGCATTACCGCGCGAGCTGTTGTCGAGTTTGACCTGTGTCACTTGATTTCGCGCGCTCCGTCTTGTTTTGATATTATCGTAGTGTGCGTCGATTGCCGTTATAGGCGCTGCTATTTTGGCCTGAGTTCTGAATTAGGCTGAGATCTATAAACCGTACTTTGACTTTGCTCAGACTCTACTTTCGAGCTAAGACAATGTCGGTATTTATAGAACTAACTTCGAAGTCGTGCTGAGTGCGCGCTAAGCAAAGCCTGAGTCAACCAAATTGACGACTTAAGAAAAACTCAGGATATTACCCTAACAAAAGTAATGGTCCAAAATTATTTTACATTACGTACAACTGATAACTCTTTAACTTTGTCGTATTCTTTCAACTGCAATGATGCCAGGTTGGAGAGAACTTCATGCAATTAAGGAAATCGTAAAACTTTCACGTAAAAATTTAACATTAATGCTGTTATCATTTCTGTAAAAACCAAAAAAAATTGATGACATATCTTTTATATATATATATATATATATATATATATATATATATATATATATATATATATATGTATATATATATATATATATTAAAATTATTTTGAAGGTTATGTGCTTTTTTACTTCGATAAATATGTATTTTAAAAATGAATCCAAAGGAAAAATTAGAATTGTCTATGGTAACACTAAAGTCATTCACGCACCAATCACCAATCACCTAAAAATAGCTTGCTACATATTTATTTATCTCCCCCCCGAACGGGTTCCCGCCTTGTCGTGGCGGGGGGGCTTAGTAGCCGTAGCTTGGTCTCCCACGGTGAACAAAGAGGAACCCACGTGGCTGGCCCGAGGTGAAGGGCCGGCCTGAGGTGGCCGCTCCGAGTGGGCTTGGGGAGCCCACTTCGGATGTGTGCTGGTGGACTGCAGCGAGTGGGGACTCGCGCACCCTCTACCGCTGCAGCCGAGGTGGAGTCGCGGAGGAAGAGGAGTGTTGGTATGGCGATGCGCCACTCGCCCTATCCTTCGCGACTCAAACGGGGCCGCACCGTTGATGCGGTGATGGTGGGGCTGCGGGGGGAGAGGATTGTCGGTATTGCGAGGCGCCGCTCTCCCTACCCTCCGCAGCCGAATCTTGGTTGGCGGCGGAGCCATAGACCAGATCCGCCGCTGGGGTCGGGAAGGCTAGTACTTCTAAGTGCTCGTTCTTCCTGGCCCCATGGCCTTTGTGCATCGGACGCGGGGGTGTCTGTTGCACAGACGTAGTTGGAGGCCGTGGAGGAAGGCGCGCCATGTGTTCTGGTGCGCCTTACCTGGGAAGGAGAACGGGGAGGAATTTTCCTCTCCCGAGGAGGTGCTGCCATGGGGCGGCAGGCGCTAGTAGGGCCGCGGATGTGGGCGAAAGCGTTCCCGTAGCCCTGCCAATATGCGACAAAAGTGGAACACCATGGGGTTTTAGTCAGTGCGAGACCGACATAACCCATCCTTGCCCCCGCGAGGTGGGTATGCGTAGGCATTTCCCCATGCAAAAAAAGAAAAAAAAAACATATTTATTTATCTATGCCTAAAAACTTTGGTTTATTCTATTCTACACCAGTTGCTGTTTCGAATTAATAGCTTGCTACATATTTATTTATCTATGAATTAAATTACCTTTTTAAAAAAATAGAACGATACTTCCCTATCCCTATTTTCAACCCGGCTTGTTTAACTGACTCTGTACCTTCTTTTTAACGGATTTTGTACCTGCTACACGACTGACTCACGGCTAATCTTTTACGGACTCCCAAACACTAAACTATTAAAATGGAAAGCGCAAAAAGGAAACAAAAGCCTTACTCGGAGTACGACAAACAATTGCTGATACAACTGGTTCAAGCCAAAATCAATGTTATAGAGAACAGAAAGACGGACGGTATTTCTCTTAGAAAAAAAAGTGAAGCTTGGGAGGAAATTACTTCGCAGTTCAACAATTCAAACGTCACACAAATTGTAAGTAAAAGTACCTAAATAATTTAATTTTTGAAATGTTTTTAGTTTTTTTCATACAAGTAGTTTTAATTATTTGGCGTAATTTTCGTGTTAGTCCGAGTCTCATATTGATACTATACGAACTTACAGAGGCACACAAATAAGTTTAATTATAAATTCTTCCTACAGATACATTAAATACTTACCTAAAATAGCTTAGAGTTGTGCCACATGTAATATTGACATTTTACTCCATTTATAATACTTGTCTACTATTCATTTTCAGGCTGATACTAAACAAATAAAAAAGATGTGGCAAAATTTAAAAACCAAAGCCAGGGATGCCAAGACTCTGGAGGCCCAAAGGAAGAGAACAGGCGGAGGACCAACTCCACCAGATATGGGACCTTTGGGGTATGTTCCGAAATACAACGCAGTGTACTGTCCAATGCAAATGACGTCATCATTTGACACTTTATTGGGTGCGTTTGGCAGAAAAAAGCGCTAGCAAGCGCTTGTAAGCAAAATGGCGATCGTAAGCGGTAAGCGCTGTCAAATCATAAGTAGCTATTTTCCTCCAGGACACGATGTTAGTTTTAACGGGGGAACATAACCTAATTTAAATATATGTTTGTAAAGTATTCATATTAAAAACTTACCAATCATGAATTTTTAATAACATGTATATGTTTATTCATGTCATTATATTACTTAAAACTAATATTGCACAAAACAACTTATAAACTCTACTTCAAAACAAACAAATTAAATAAGCAAAATGGCGGATTGTGTCAGCGCTACTGAAGTAGGAATCGTGTCCTGGCCGAAAACTATTTTAGCGCTTATAAGCGCTTGCTAGCGCTTTTTTCTGCCAAACGCACCCATTGTACTAGCGTGCCGCCGCCATATTGTGTCGGATATCCGGCCATAATAAAACAATTTTTAATTGTGTGTTTGCCGAATGAAGCATGCCAGAATTTGTTTCTATTTATTCAAATACAAAAATTATAGAATAATTGATGGTATATCCATTAGGAGGATATAATGATTTTTGGAGCACAAAATGACAAAATAATCGCCAACACTTTTCCAAATGGCGCAAAAGTATGACGTCATATACTGTCCAATGTTTTGGAACGAATCACCAGTATAGCGTCGATTCATGACGTCATTTGCATTGGACAGTACACTGTGTTGTATTTCGGAACATACCCTTGGAGTCTCAAGTTATAGCTGTCATGCCAAATGTTTTGCCATTCATCAGTGTAGAAATTGACAGTGACACATTAGCTATTGGTAAGTTAATCATGATAAAAATGTGTTATCATATTATATCATATAATTTAAAATTACTATAAATCTAATTAGCTTTTGCCTGTGACATTAGTGCCAATTTGGGTTTATTAGAAATCCTGTAGGTACACTGTTCAACTTGAATTAACTGCCATTATTAACACTGTTTAAATTAAATAATAAAAAAAAATAACCAAGATCACTCCTTGCAAAATTCTCTACGGCCAAAATTGGTTCAGGTTCAAAACTAACAAATGGATAGGATTTTATAATACATAATTGCATCAAATATGTATTTCTATTAAATAATTAACTCATAAGTCATATAAATAATTTTTATTTACCATTTAGCACTATTAATTTCAATTAGTATAAAGTTCGCACATTGTTATTATACCGGATAGCTAACTTGTTATAGTTATTTTGATTGTAGCTGAGCTCTCTTACTAGTCGGAATAAGGAAAAATAAATACAATTATCAATGTGTCACTAAACGTAAAAAAAAAAAAGAAGTTTCCTATCTCTGGCGAAATAATAATGGAGAATAAAAATATTTGCATGCTTGCCATATGGACTGGCCCATATTATGCAGTAAAACTACAAAAATCTGCAAAGACGCCAAATTTTGGATTTTGAATATATTACCGAAGTTACAAGCGTTTTTTAAAAATGTGTACTGACTGAAATAATTGACTCGAGATAAGCTCGGTCAATGCCATTGCGGCAAATATTTTTATAATAAAAAATATGGTAATTGTTAAAAAAAATACTAGTAACATTTGGTTATTTTATTTATTAAAACAGGTTGCAACTGTACTATGTATTTATTTATACCACTATGCTACCGTTAGTAGATATAATCGATTATTAACACTGCAGTACTCGCGCGGGGTGAATATTCACCCCAGACCAATGCTTTCATCCATATTTTTTAAATCATTTGAATACAAACTGTGTCGCCTAGTGTAATCCTAGTCAAGTAAACTAGGTTCAAGGTCAGTATGGTGCCGGCATCGACGCGTGCGCTAGTGGCAAAAAAAAGGCGGGAAAGTGCTCGGGACGGAATTTCACCCCACGCGAGTATCGGCGTTACAAAATCTCTCGTTCGATTATTAAGTGTTTCTTGTAAGTATTGGTTTTATTTTTTCTTCTATTCGAGATGATTTCAGTTTCTACAAGACTTTTGTATATTTTGCTATGAATTTTGTGTTGTTCATTACAGATTTGTCGCCATTATGGACGAACGTCAGGATAATATAATACGATGCTGGTTGGAAGATATGGAGGTTAGATATGGAGGCTGGTTGGAAGATATTGCGCCGAGTGATACAGAAGATAATGAAGAGGAATGTATTACAGAGCTAAACCATGACTCAGAAACAGAGCAAGAATATGAAAGTAGCATAGAAGAGACGGAAGAAAGGAGCACAGAAGAGAGGGTAGATGAAGACATGGAAGAAAATGTGGAGAATAGTTTTTCAAGCGACGACAACGTTCCTCTGTGTACTTTCTCAAACTACTACCAGTCAAGAAATGGCAATCGTTGGAACAAAACACCACCACCGTCATCAAGAACTAGATCGCACAATATTTTAGTACAACAATGTGGACCAAAAGGTAACGCTAAAAACGCCCAGTCTCCACTGTCTTGTTTCGAGCTATTTTTTGACGAGGCACTTTTGAGACAATATTGTTCAATCAAAATATAAACGTGACAGAGATGCTCGTCAAACAAACATGATGGAAATTCGAGCTTTTATCGGGTTATTGCTGGTGATAGGCGTAAACAGATCGGGAAGACGGAACCTGAAAGACTGTTGGGATAATTCTAGAGGCACAGGAATTGAATTAGTCTATTTGAATATGTGGTTGAATATATTTCGATTTCTCCTTCGCACTGTTCGATTTGGTGACGTCACAAGCCGACCTCAAAGGCAATCACTAGATAAATTTGCAGCTATACGTGATGTTGTAGAAAAGTTCATTTCCAATTGTAAAAACAATTATAATCCCAGTGAGCGACTAACTATTGACGAACAGCTTGTTGCATTTCGGGGACGCTGTAGTTTTATCATGTATATTATGCCCAATAAACCTTCAAAGTTTGGAATCAAAATAATAATGGTAGTAGATGTCAAATTCCCATACATAATTTTGAAATTTATGTTCGTGCACAGCCTGAAGGGCCTTTCCAACATTCTAACAAAGTCCTGGATATTACACTTCGAGTATTGGATCCCGTCTGCAATCTTGGATGTAATATCACGATGGATAACCGGTTTTCCAGTATACCGCTAGCTCAAGAGCTGTTGAAACGGAAAACTACCATGGTTGGCACCCTCAAGTCTAATAAACCAGAAATACCTGCAATTTTCAAAGGATCTCGTCAAAGAGAAGAAAAAAGTACTGTTTTTGGATTTCAGAAAGACTGCACTCTAGTTTCATAGATACCAAAAAGAAACAAATCCGTGATTTTGCTATCTACAATGCATCATAATGGCATAATTGATTCAACAACGGAAGCTAAACAGAAGCCAGAAATAGTAACTTTTTATAACAAAAACAAATGTGGGGTATACATTATTGATAAGATGTACAATCAATATAATGTTTCAAGAAACAGTAGACGATGGCCTCTTACTGTATTTTTTGACTTTTTAAATCTTGCAGGTATAAATAGCTTGGTAATTCATCACATGAATAGGATGGCTAACAATGAGCAATCACTCATTGAACGGAGAATGTTTCTGCTGGATGTGGCGTTTGAATTGGTAAAACCCGCAATAAATTATAGAATTGGTGTTCCAAATATTCCACGGGAACTAAAAACTAAAGCTCAGATACTTTTAAAACCACAAAGCGGTGACAATGACCCAAATCCAAATCGGAATGTCCAGAGGACCGGAAAAAGTGGTCGATGCGCCTATTGTCCACGATCACGTGATCGTTCTGCTTCGAAATTCTGTAATATATGTAATCGATGGATTTTTCCGGACCATCAAGTTCTAATTTGTACATCTTGTCATCAAAATACATAAAAACTGTTAAAACTAAATAAAAAAAAAATTAAAATGTTTCGGAGAGTTGGCAAAATTAATAACTTTTTCCTCATTTTTTTAAATTACATTTTTTTTGTTAATTTCATTAAAATACATTTATTTTTATAATATTTGGCATAAACAATAAATACTTTTCACTATTTGAACGCATTTTATTTCATATTGTATTATATTTACATAAAATCGAGCAATGTAAATGGTCTGAAAATTCACCCCACGCGAGTAAAATATTAGAAAATTAGGGCGCGAGTACTGCAGTGTTAATCAACATCGGTTAGCAATCGATTACTGTGAAATAATTAAAATATTTATGTGTACTTATTTCAACATTAAGGTTCATAAATAATGAAAAATGTATCAAATAGATTAAAATAAATTAATTAGATAACAAAAAATGACACAAAAATGTGAAAAATTTTCCATCCACTGAACTCCATCCTAAGAAAATTTGTATAATGGTTGATCAAGATCGTTTAGTCGCTATACTCACAGTAGATATCATAGTGCGGGAGAGTGAATAGATATTATGAAATAAAGTATCGCTCGCGTAGGTCGTCGCCCGCTCGGAGCGTAAAAAATACCTAAATTTGCGTAACGCTGAAATGTAAGAAGGCTCTTAAAGAAATGTCCATTCCGCTCGCATTTGCATTTTTTTTATTCGGAATAATTTAACTTCTGGGCAAAAAAAATTATATGGAAAATATTCCAAGATATGCTTACATTTCTACTATGTGTCTTTCCTGACACATAGTAGAAACGTAGATAAATTTTAAAATGGTACTACAACTTCGTTTCCGTTTAGCTACAGTGATGGCACAGGTATAGTCAGCATATACAAAGTGTTGTCTACAAATTTCGGAAAAATATCCTGCCAATTATTATTTTTAATAAGTCTAAGAACTTAACGTGGCTTTGCTGATTGAAGATCTTTAAATAATAAGTTCATGCTCATAAGTTCCTGAACCAGTTTAAAACTAGACAAATCACATTATGCTCATCTGTTCAACTGATTTGCAAATCAAAACAGGCTTTTTGACCTTTCTGGAATCATTTTCATTTTGTATAAAAATGAACACGTATTGTAGAATTTTGATAATTTAAGTCAAACAATTTTAAACAATTATTTAGGATCAATTGTTGTCTCATCTACGGCTTCGTACACAAATAATATTTTCTTTCTTCGGGATTGGGCTGGCTTAAAATTTGGATCTATCTGTTATAAGAGTAGATGAAAAGGCTCGGCACTGTTTCAAAATTCTTATAAAATTTTCAAATTATTATATTAGTATTCGACACCTTTGGTGAAGAAAGACCAGTACTATCACTGCGACGTTTCTTCTATTAAGGAACAAAAGAGTTGCTTATTATGGTTATAAAAAGATACTCTATGGCTTAGTCCTAGGATGGCCATGCGCATGACACCAGTGTCCAGTCAGAGCTCTTTCCAGAATGCGCAGTTTATTTTTATCTAACCCCAGGGCTTCTGAAGCGAATTTACTATCAAAAGCACGGATTGAGGGTTTCAAATGTTTTAAGCCTGGCTTATCAGACCTGCAAGGCTATTCTGTAAGAACATTTTTGTATCTCGAAAGCTGAATCCACGGTGAAATATCAAATTCGCATTTTGTTAAATTTGAAAGCGCCGGTGGCGCCTCTCAATCGAGCGCGGAATCGAGACGAATTCGTTATATAAAACTAGTTGCTCCGCGTCGTGCGTCATTCCGAAGTGATCGTGCCAGTAAATCGAGCTCCGACAAAATGCCGAATTGCAGTGTATTTACATGAAAATAACAACCAGAAAACGTCAAGTATACAAAAGGACAACGTGACTTTTCATCTGTGAGTATTTTTAACATAATATTAAAGTAAGTTTATCATTAAAACTCGTACTTTGTAAATATTATCGTCCAATACCGAGTGTGGCCATCATAGTTCATAAAGTGAAAAATAATCTTTTTAAATAAATATAATTTAATGATTTCTTATATTTACGCGAACACTACACATTGAAATAATACTAATTTTTACGGAATTTATCGCGTATATTTAACTTTTTTAGCCGACGTTTCGAGAGCTTTACAGCACCCATGGTCAGTTAGCTACCGTGGGTAAATCTTTGTTTCAGAGAGCACGAGGGATCTGTGACAGTAAACACCTGGCTGCCGAGCTCCAACATGTCAAGCAAGTTTTGCATGACAACAAGCTTCGGGTCCCGCGCCTATGTCACAGAGAACGAGTGAAGCCGGCCACAGTCGAGCGTGTACCTGCTGTACTGCCATATGTTAGAGGAGTCACTGACAAGATTGGCTACATCTTGAAGCGCGCTTCCATCAAAACATACTTCAAGCCGCCGAAGAAGATTGGTCAGTTTTTACCATCAGTCAAGTGTAACGTCCCTCTGCAAGATGCAGGAGTGTACAAGCTTGATTGTGAATGTGGTCTCTCCTACATAGGACAAACTAAAAGATCAATTAAAACCCGCGTCAAAGAACATATAGCTGATGTGAAGAATCGACGCTCCGGGAAGTCTGCAGTCTGTGAACATGTACAGGATCGCCCCCGTCACAACATCAGATTTGATAGACCACAAATCCTCGCTAAAGAACACCGATTCCTTCCAAGGATGATTCGCGAGGCTATTGAAATCAAAAAACATCCTAATTTCAATAGAGAAGATGGCTGGGTGCTACCATCTGCTTGGGATCCTATAATAAATAAAATTAAATCCCAACCCAAGCATACAACTGCAAGACTCCATGATACCATAAGTTCATACTGTGTAGATCGGAACAAAAGTTAAATTTTAATCTATGGTAACCGCGGTTAACTATGACAGCTGGACGTTGAACATCTCAGTCCTTCCCGTGACCATGGGTGCTGTAAAGCTCTCGAAACGTCGGGTAAAAAAGTTAAATATACGCGATAAATTCCGTAAAAATTAGTATTATTTCAAATATAATTTACTACACAAGTTATATTTATCTAACTAAATCAGTTTGTGATGAATAATAATCATTACATATAGATGTGTAGTGGATTTTGTTAAATGATTTATATATTCAGCTCGATTTCAACACGATACTGAATATTATATAATTAAATATAATCGATAACTAGTATTTATTAAAATATTATACAAAAGCCAAGTCACATCGAAACTTGCTACCTCGCAGCAAAAGTGTGCAATTTTTATAAAAATAAACTGGTATCACTGCAACCAAAAGTATTGCACTATAGTGATGAACGCCGCAACTTTAGCTATCGATAAGTTAATTAACCATGCGGGTTTGTCTGCCGAAGCTGTTAGTAGTTTTTATTTAGATTTTATAATAAGGTATTACAAAAAGTAGTAAATTTTTCTATTATTGGTTTGTTTTTACAGATTTCCAAGAGATCCTCTTAGACGGCACACTTGGATTGTAGCTTGTAGAAACCATGAATTATATTCAATAATTTAATTATTGAAAATATTTTATTAAATTTACAAAAGCATTAACCTATCATATATATATATACATATATATATATATATATATATATATATATATATATATATATATATATATATATATATATATATATATATATATATATATATATATATATATATATATATATATATATATATTTATCAAATTAGTTAATGTTGT